TTGGCACCTGGCACCTTGCTCATCCCGGGGAGACTGCTCTCCCCAGGGCTAGATGATTCCTAGCGGGAGCAGAGACTCCCCTGTGAGCCTGCGAGAGAGAGAGAGACAGAGAGAGAAGGGAGAGGGAGAGATACATAAACACTGATGAGAGAGAAGCATCCGCTGGCGGCCTCCTGCACGCACCCCTCCCGGGGATCGAGCCCACAACCTGGGCATGTGCCCTGACCAGAAATCAAACCAGTGACCTCTTGGTGCAGGGGCCGATGCTCAATCCACTGAGCCACACCAGCCGGGCATGAATGTACCTTTTAGATGCAAACCAACCAGTTGAGAGCCCACACCCCTCACCTACCTCTTTTCAAGACCTCAGACCTGGAGCCACTAAACAATCCAGGGTCAGGCTCCAGGCAACCAGGGGACTCAGGTGCTGTTCCCCGGGCTGGTCTAGGGCCAGTCTTTCCTCGGAACGTGTAGCACTTGGGCAGTGGAGGCCTAACGTTCCGCTAACACGTTCCTGCACGTCCACCCCCTCGTCCCCGGGCCTGAGCTCTTACGACAAAAAACAGCCATATTTGAGCATCTCCACGTAGTGAAGCGTTTCTGTAACAAATACACCATGGTATTATCAGGAACATGCCTCACACTTGAAAGAGGCATTAGGAGGAATGGATAGACTTAAAGAGACGGCCAATTAATCCTATAAAGCCCTTACACCAGTGATGGCGAACCTTTTGAGCTCGGCGTGCCAGCATTTTGAAAAACCCCTAACTTAACTCTGGTGCTGTTTCTACCTGTGAGCAGCATGAGTCTGTGAGAAACAGGAATGCTTAAGCCAGTGATGGCGAAACTATGACACATGTGTCAGGTGACACGCGAGCTCATTTTTTCGGTTGATTTTTCTTTGTTAAATGGCATTTAAATATATGATGTGGCTATTTATATTACTGTAGTGTCACTAAATCTTAAAATTGGGTGAAGTGATTCTTCTATCTTTGCTTTAAAAATTGATTTAACTTTCCATATAATTTTTCCCTTTGTCTTTACATTAAATTTTTTTGGGGGGGGGTACCAAATTACTTTATTGGAAGGAACGGTACAAATGACAGACATGAGTGGATGATCCGGTACAAGTTATAGAAAAGGTAAAGGTCGCGCCAACATGCAGTACTGCTTAAATTTTTTTTTTTTTTTACATTACATTTTTATCATGTACTTGCCGGGCCAGTGTGGCTCAGTGGTTGAGTGTTGACTTAGGAACCAAAAGATCACAGTTTGATTCCCGGGTCAGGCCATGTGCTCAGGTTACAGGCTGGATCCCCAGAAGGGTGTGCAGGAGGCAGCCAATTGAGACGATGTTGCTCTCATTGATGTTTCTCTCTCTCCCTCTCCCTCCCTTCTTTTCTAAAAAGCAGTAAAATCATTTAATAAATTTATCATGTTCTTGACATATTTACAGAACTTGCTGGGATTTTGGTAGAAATTAATCTGTGGGTCATTTTAGTAATTTTGGGATCTTATGTTGGGTCTTCCAGTCCATGAACATGGTATGTCTCTCATTTAGGTCCTCTTTGATTTATTTTATCAGTGTTTTGTCACTTTTAGCCTACACTGAAA